AAAAAAGCAGAGGTTCTAAGATTTTCTTTCCAAATCTCAAGGAATCCTTGCTCTAGAGACCTTGGACCAGTCGCATTGTTTTGAATTCCTTTGGCCATTCTGGACACTCTGAACATGGCACGATCCTTCACAGGTGTTGCCGTGTTCTCTTGGAGTCGTTCCCCCTCTCTGTTTCCTTGGTCCCTGTCTGAACTGCGAGCGGGAATGGGCCTGGCGGTTTGCAGTGCCTCATCTCCCCGGGGACGCCTAGGGCAGGTGGAGCCCAGGCTAGCCCTGTGGGGGCACACGTCTCAGTTTTGAAGATGAAAGCGACTTACCTCTTGGAAAGCATCAATCAGATTCTCAGTACTTCTCTTCCCCCCAGGGCGCAGGCCGTAGGACCAGTGTTGGCTGGAGCAGCCAACCACGCATAAGGTCAGCAGAAGAAATCCGGCGACAAGTTTTGGAATCGCCTCCATCCTGAGGAACACGACGCAGCAGTCAGAGGAGCCCCAGACTGGGTTGAGCAAGAAGTAAAGACCTCTTTGGTGAGCAGTCTGATGTTTGTATGCTAACCCCGCGGAAGATAGAAATAGCTGTGGTTTTCACCCAAGGACACAGAAAAACACCCCCCCCCCCCCCCCACCGCCCCTTGCTTGCCTTCAGGAATTCCTAGCCACCTGCGATAAAGGCAGGACTTTGAACTTACGTGCTCCGCACTTTTCAGTACAAAGCTAGTCTCTTTTTATTTTTAGTATTTATTTGGTTATCCAAACCCCCTGATTCCTTCCCTTATCAAGTTCACCTTCTTGCTTTAAGATTCCCTGCCCCCTCTCAACTGATTAGTTTCCAGCTAACTGTATCAGTTCCTGAGGTAAAGAGAACTGGGCCATCTGCTTGGAAAGGTAGCTTCTGCTAGGAATCTCTGGCTAATATAAAGTTGTATGACATTCAGTGGTTACGCTGTGGCACTAATTACATTTTGCTGAGTATCCTCCACACTGAAGTGTGGGCTGGACCATCTGTGAGCGCGGGAGAGAGCTCAACACCTTTCAAAGCACCGAGTCCCAGACCAGATGCCTCCGTGGCCATGGCGGGCTCGAATTAGCTAATGACATGACGAATTCTCACAAAGCCTTCACGTTAATGTTCATCTGATGGGAAAAAGGCTAAAGACGAAATCGAATACGGGTCCATGAGTTGTTATTAATTCCCCAAAGGCTGCATCGCTGTGGCCAGGGGTGACAAGGACCATGAAGGTCAAGGTTTCTTTGGATGCTATGCACCTGGACTTTGCCCGTTGGGTACAAAATGCCCTATAGAGAGACAAAAGTGTGCAGTCTAAAACACATGCTGGAAATACAAAGCGTCTTACCTGTTTGAGGACCAAGAGCCAAAAGAATCCCGAGCTTCTCTTCGAGTTAGTGGAGTTCTGTGATTTTTCATTGTCTTGGCTTCCTTTTTATATGAAACTTTTCCAGGACTGAAATCTTTCCTGCTGGCAAATTATACCGCACAGGGACTATGGGTTTTGTTTTTTTTTTAATAGTGATTTGTGTTTTAATCCTCACAGAAGGCCCTGTAATAGTGTATGTAATTGGAACACCCACTGGCGTGTCTGTTAAATGTACTTAAATCTTGGCCATTAAAACCTCAGCCAGGACTTTTGTACTGAGGCCACAATTCACAGATTAAAATCAAGCCAGGTTGGATTCTCTTGAGGAAACAGACCTATCCAGAGTTCCAGGAAGACAGCTGCTGTACCTTAAGTGATGTTAAAGGCTCACATAAAAGCTTTCACAAAGGAGGCCATGTAATCATTTTAGAAAGGAGTTCAGTCAGGATGCCTGGGAGCTGGTCTCCGCTCTTTGGTTCTTCATTTGTAAGAGGAGCTGATTTATAAATAATAAGAAGGGATTATTGGCACCCTACCTATACCCACATACGATCCTGAAGAAGATAACGGGGGTTTGAAAATTTCCCAGGCTCCTACCCACCAGGTTCCTTCCTTGACTTATCTTGAAAGCCTGCTGATAGCATCAGAAAGTTGAGAAACACTGTCGTTAGAATATACTAAGCCTAAAACCACCTAGAACCTACTTGGGTCCACAGTGTGACTCATTTTAGTAGATACTGAGTTAAAATAGGCAAGTCACTGTGCTGAAGGCAGTGGGAACACAAAGGTGAGAAACATACGTAAACATACATGCGTAAACATGCGTGCGTAAGACCAGCCTCCCCTCTGACAACAGTCCCAGCAGGTGGGTATCGTTATCCAAACTTTACAGATAGGTGTTCCAAGCCAGGGGGGGAGGGGACCCTGGGGATGTTTTATTTACACAGTATAAGCATTTACAAAAGCAAAGAGAGAACCATTACTCTTTATTACTTTTATTTGAATACATGATTGTCTTCCCCTTAATTTACCCCTTGGGTTGTAACTCATAATGGTCAAGGATCCCATCTCGTCTAAACTTCTGTTAAATCCCTAGCATTAGTCAGCCTTTGATAACTTTGAATGAATGACTAAAAAGTAAGGGCCTTTAAACAAGGTTGGGCTTAACGCTTCCTCTATTTCTGCATCAAAGTTATGTTTTATCTGACATAGAATTAAACCTTCATATACAATTGTCTGTAAGGCCTATTACATTAGCTAAACAGTAAAATGGTTAAGAATAACTAGGTATTTGTTCATTTTAGAGCCGGGATTGGCAGTTTTCTCCCCTGGTAGGATGCTAAACCAATCAGTCGTCGCCCAAGGGTAAATTAGGGGAAGACAATCATGTATTCATGATACTCTTCCAGAAGAATCACATTTGCAAGGATGTCAGTATAAAGAGCAGTGCTGTCCTGCCCAGAGAAACTCTTTACCCAGCCATTTCTGTGGAGGTTGTCAGAGTCTCATGATAGGCTGGAGAAGGAGATAAGCTTTTAAGTACAATTGCAAACAGTGAACAATCTCAGAAAAAAAAAAAAGATAATAGTAATGTGATTTAACTTATTTTCATTATTTCATTAGACACTGAGTAATTTAAGTGCCATTCTGACATGAGAGAGTAATCTCATCTCACTAAAATACAAAGGTAATGAGAGGCTCTTTTTCAATAAGAGCTCATTATGTTTGAACGGCACTTAAATTGCCCAGTTGACAATTTGCTAAAAGAAGTGTGCTTCTCACAGTGTTGCGCCAGCAGATGTGGTCTTGGGACAGGACCAAGGAAACGGGAGTGAAGACTCCTGACCTTTAGGGTCACGTTAATCACTTAGCTTTGGTTAAGCATGAGTGGCTTTCTTGTACGTTATTTCTATCAGTATTTCTATCGGTATTTTTGGAAACAGGTTTTGAAATTTTTAGATGAACACAGTGGCATGGTCTATGAATTTACTCAATATGCGCGATGCCAAATCTGCATCTCCTTAGATCACATAGATCTGAAGGGCAAAGGCCAAATTTATTTTCTGCAGTACCAAGGAAGAGATTGAATATGCAATTAATGGAATTTTGATGTTTAGGGACACACTTTGAATCTTTTCTTTTCTCTTTTTTTTTCTTTTTTTTTGTAGGAGAAAGAGGGTGTGGGGGGGGGGGGGGGGGGGGGCAAGGCAGAGAGAGAGGGAGACACAGAATCTGAAGCAGTCTCCAGGCTCTGAGCTGTCAGCACAGAGCCCGACGTGGGGCTTGAACTCACAAACCGCGAGATCATGACCTGAGCTAGTCAGAGGCTTAACCAAGTGAGCCACCCAGGCGCCCCTTGAATCTTTTCATAGTTCCAAGGATAGATCCATTTATCATGAAGCTTAATTTAGTAAACTGGGTTTAAGTATTGGATTTCATAGTTGTCAGAAATTTTTTCTCAATTTAGAAACTTCTAGATCTTAAAGGATATGGCTTTAGGGGTGCCTGGGTAGCTCAGTCCGTTGAGTGTCCGACTTCAGCTCAGGTCATAATCTTGTGGTCCGTGAGTTCGAGTCCTGCGTCGGGCTCTGTGCTGACAGCTCAGAGCCTGGAGCCTGTTTCAAATTGTGTCTCCCTCTCTCTCTGACCCTCCCCTGTTCATTCTCTGTCTCTGTCTCAAAAATAAATAAACGTTAAAAAGAAAAAAAAAAAGTATATGGCTTTAGAGGGAAAATGGTTTCATTTTCAACCTTAAAAGAAACACCTAAAAATTATTACAATGCCACAGTAATGACTTAGCAATCTTGATGAGTGACAGACACAAGCCTCTTTTTGCCCTAATGTAAAATCTCAGCAGGAAGGGTCCGTGGTGAACTCCTGCTGACATATTTAAAGGTTGTGAAAGGCTTTCAGAGAATTAATCCTTGCATAAGGTGCTTTATGCAGAAAATAACCACTTTTCTTTGTAGAGGTGGACCTTTTTAATTTTAAAGATAATACCTCCTTGGAAATTTAATAAAATTCTAGGGCTTTTCATTAAACATGATTTGAAGTTGACATGGGGGTAGATTTATAGTATAAACCACCCATTCATAAAATGAGCAACTGGAGAAAATATTCCATGCCTTGTTTTATGATAGTAAATCACTGTCATAAGAAAGTGAATTTACACTATTTCCTACTAAAATTTCTTTGAAACCATAGTTGAATTAGATATGACAGCATAATACGTATGGCTCTAAATAATTACAGGAGTACTGAATTTTATCAATATGCATAATCTGATTTAGATTTTCTAGTCCCCCACCCCCAATTGTATTTTTACCTGTGTACAGACAAGTTCCATCACTAGGTTTAATAGAAGTTGTACTCTTTTGAAACTCCTGCCTCAAAATTCTCTCTCCGACGAGTCAGGTGAGAATGTATTGGGGACAATGTACTCAACCAACCTAATAAATCTAACTTGTAATGTTCATCAGCTAAAGAGTAACACAAATGAACCACTGGAAGTCATGTAATTGAACCTGTGTTGTTAGCATGGCAGATTTTAAAAAGAGGGTCATAAAAAAACCATGCTTAAAGGGGTAAATTTGCATGAATGGCCCTTTCAGACTAATCCATTGTAAGCGTTGTGTTGGATTTCCTTCTCCACCCAGACCCTCGGGACTGGTCATCAACTTAATGCTGAAGAAATGTAAGTGAAGTATGGTCAAGAGTCGATTTTCAAAAATACGACTAGAAACTCCTTTTCAACATTTCACATCGTTTATTAATGCAGTATACATTAGATCCAAAATCTGCAGTTTCTAAGCATACCATGTTTAGACCTTTCAGATTCTTGTGCATTTTTAGGTTTATGTCTACAGAGGTACCCTTAAGTGGATGAACGAACACATTCTATAATTATTGAAAATATAGTACAGAGTGAAATGATTTAAATATAATTTAGGCACATATTGATTATGAAAATAGATATCTCTCAATACAATACTTCTCTGTCTTGGTAAAAATAATAAAGCAAAGAAAATAATTCATTTCTGAAATTGCTTTCCCTCACCTGTAAAGGTGCGAGCTCTCACTACGCATATGCACCCTTTACCGCTAAGGAAAGCTTTGCATATGTATATATAGAAGAATAAGCTACGTAAATATTGAACACGCGTCATTCTCCCAAAGGAGACGAAGTCGTTTTTACTGATTCATTGCTTCAAACTGATGAGTCTGTAGAATTCAGAACCTATTTGGACACAGCTTATATCCCTGCTCTTGGGGTAGACATAAGGACAACGGGTTATTGGTAAGGAAGTACAGGTCCTGTCTCTGCTATTGCAGAGAGAAGGACTCAAGAAAAGCGGGCTAGAATTTGAACTAAATCAGAAAGAAGTAAAAGAACCACAGGTGCTGACTGATTGGTATTACATCTCGGACCAGTCCAACGCCTTTATTTTTGTTGGAGTTTTTTGGTGGCTATCATCAAATTGCCAGTTTAAAATCCCTTCCCTTCCCCTTGTAGGGTTTTAACGGCATTATGTTGATTTCCAAAAGATGACAGTGGACTGGGATTTAATGCCTATTTCTAAGCTGGCCCTGTTGAAACTATTTGGCATTTGAATTAAATTACTACTGATAACGCACCTTGGTTTTTTGGTTCTGACATATACTTCCTATGCTTCTTGTGACTGTACAGGAGAAAACAAGGCTAGTAGTGTAAATTGATAAAATCGCCTGGTTTGGCGTTGAGTGGAACTTGCTTAGAATGAAATTCTAAGGATGCTCATTTAAAAGTTGTAGCGATAGGTAAATGTCCATCTGGAGAGTTCCACCTCAACTTGAGCTGACATGGAGGTCTTTTCTTTCACTCAGTCTCAATCAGTAAGAACCGAGGATTTAATTTAGCTACTGTTTCGTTCTAAAAAATAAACATTACAAGAACCTGAAAAGAGAGCCTTGGGGAATCTGATCTCACCATATTCATATGGCATGACAGGTATGTAGAGTAGGGGAGGCATCACTAAAGCTATTAATAAACCTGAACCTTTTCGAAATTTTCGTAAAGTTTAACAATTTAAATATCCATACTGTATCTAGAGATTCAATAAATATAATTGCATATGTTGTGCTTTTCATAAATTAAAATCCTCGAATACATTTCAAACCAAGATGGTATTTCCACATCATGCCTATTTAAAAGCAAATATAATAGATCCTATTTCTGGTCATAAAACCAGCCAAATCCCCCTAACTCCGCTCAAAAGGCAGCAAGCTACTCTAGCTTCTCTACATCTATTAAATGAGTGCTTCTCGGTTAAAATCAGAATGTGGAAAAAAGTCACTTTTTTCCTTTATGCACCGTTGAGAACAAGCATAATCCTCAAAATGGGTTTTTGTTTGTTTTTTATTCCCTTACAGTGTTACTTCTTCTAGACAACTGAATGGGTGGCGAAAAAAAAAAGTGAGAAGGACAACATTTTTCATCTTGGGCATCTTCCTCCGGCCCTGAAATTCTCATCTGACACTCTGTGACATATGTAGTGGGGTCAGCATCTCTTCAAATATAGCTCCCTTCACGTTGGAACCTCTCAGGTTGGCTTCTTGAAGATCGCACCCAGACAGGTCGCAATTCTGCAAGACAAAAACAATATTCATGAAACTAAGATTCCTGGGGCACGTGAGGAAAATGTTCCAACGTCATGAAACCCTGTTATTTCTGGAAGACTGCCGTGTTAGAAAAAAGTCAGATTTTCTTCTATATCTGGAGTTGTTTTCTCTAGGTGAGTGGTCAGGCTGACAGTCACAAATACTGACAAACAGAGGTTAAAGAGGGAGTGTGTCTCTTCTGTTCCCATATTTTAGAATCGGCCATTTAAAACCCAGAATGGACTCCAACGTAATAAATATTATCTATGCAAATTTACCACAATCCGAGGACAACAAAAGGCAGGGCAGGTAAGCACTATTAAAAAAAAAAAAAACCCAAAAACCTGAGGGGCACCTGGGTGGCTCAGTCAGTTAAGCGTCTGACTTCAGCTTGGGTCATGATCTCACGGTTCGTGGGTGTGAACCCCGTGTTGGGCTCCGTGCTGACAGCTCAGTGCCTGGGACCTGCTTCAGATTCTGTGTCTCTCGCTCTCTCTGCCCCTCCCCTGCTCCTGCTCTCTCTCTGTCTCTCAAAAATAAATAGATGTTGAAAAAATTTAAAAAGAAAACAACTGAGAGAAAGAGATCTTACTTACTAATTACATTATAATAGATTTTTCCATTCCCCAACTCGAACATTTTTATAGCAGGGAACTGCTTTTTTTTTTTTTAAACCCCAAATTATGTGCACAATTCAATGAGTTTTAACAAATGTATACACAACAGTGTAACTACCATCACAATTGGAAGCTGCTTTGAAATTTCTCTTGAGATCACAGAGTGGCAGATGAGACAGATCGTGGGTAAGTCCTTGGGGATGGTGGGTGACTGCACCTAACCTTCTAGGACAGAATGTCACCGGCGGCCCTTCAAACAGCCAACCTGACCGGCCTGCATTCAGTTGCCATCAGGAAGACTTCTGGTGTTTACCTACACGGTAACTAAAACCAAGGGGAAAAAAAAATCATCCTTTTTGGTGACAGTACCAAAGAATAAAAAATTAAGGAACTGTGCTTATAACAGGCTTCTATTTTTGGCCTTGGGCAGGTTCTTTTTGCCTTTAAGTTTAATGGGGCCTGCCACTCTACCGCTAAGATCTGTCAAGAGAACAAAGCGGAAACATTAACAGGGGAAAATCAATGACAAGCCAAATTTTGACCCACTCTTCTCTCCAATCCGATCTATGCCAGGTTTTCCCGGATAAGGCTGTGCCGTTCAATATGATGGCAACAGCCACATGTGGCTACTTATATTTAAACGAATTAAAATTAAGTAAAATTTAAAAATCCGTTTCTCAGTCACACTGGCCATATTTCAAGTGCTCAACAGCCACAGCGCCTGGTGGCTACTGTCCCGAACAGATTTAGAACGCGTCCAGCATTGCAAAAAGTGCTATGGGGACAGCACCAAGAGACCTATCAACGGCCTTTGAGCCTGCCAGCTACATTTGCGAATCAAGACAACATATATAATTCTGATGAAAAAGACGCGCAAAGTTAAAAGCTCAAATCGCGATTCAAAAAGAACACGATTCCAATTTAGAATAGGCTCTCTCTTAACCTGATTTCAAACCTGGATATCTTTGACATTTCTCGAACAGTTAAAAAGATAATCTGGCCCCATTTAATTCTGTCTGGACTTAAAACTGCAGAAAAACACAATAAATTCGATTAGGAAAGCAGTCATCAAACTCATCTACTTGAAGGAGACCCAAGGAACAGAGGACAAATGAAATTGGCTTCGACCGACTGTCAGATGAATCTTTCAATCTGAAACTGGGACCCGTGGCCCGTGTGACTGAATCCTGCTCTGGGAGGCACGTCTGCTGAAACAAGCAATCGACAGGAGAACACCGCTCCGGCTGTGCGGGCGTGCTCCCTGGCAGTTTTTACCAGCCAATGAATTTGTTGGCGACCTCGATACATTTTGCAGGACAGGCTCGGTAACTGCAGATTACCAAACGCTCTTCGGACACTGGTGACTCACCTCTAAGTCCGTTCCTGCCAGAGTTGCGCCTCGGAGGTTACAGTTCTTCAACTTCGCGTTTTTTAAGGTAGCAACTCTCAGGTTAATTCCTGTCATTTGACTTCCTTCCATATCCACACCTTTCAGATTAGCACCTACAGTGAATATATTTTGATAGCGGTTGAACTTCAAAATATTTATAGTCCTCTCCCTTCAAAAAACCGCAGGTTTAGTTTACTTAATGGAGGTGAATGACAGGCTCTTTAACTTTTGGAAAGGACTCCGTGAACCATAAATCTCAGTCTCTCGACCAACTTACACATATAAAGCGTTCATTGTTAACAACCTGTTTGCTTGTTCTATGAATTAAGAATGTTTTAGTCTATATTTTTGAGGGAAGAATTCAATTCGGTCTTAAGATAATTGGCACTTTTATAATATGCTTCCGTAAGTTTATGATAAGGAGGGTAAGTCCCCTGTACTCTAAACATACAAATAAGTGACCAGTTCACTGACACAACAGAGCAATAAGAAATTCATAAATAAAACATTAATCTAAAAATGACAGAAACTGCCTAGCTTTGTGCAAACAAATTCATTTTAGTCACTGTGAGCGTATACTGTTTAATTTCAAAGTTCGAGATGTTGACATTTAATTCTCCAACTGAAGCCTTATCCAATAGTAGAGGCTGGATTTCCCCTAGCTTCTTGCCTAGCACATGACTGAGACCAAATACGATGGCAGAAGAAATCTACCCCCCAGTAGCGGTCACGATTTTTCTGTAACAATTATTTTGTTGGGCTTTTTACTTTGTGATATGTTCTCACCTTAGAAAATGTAATTATAGATAGAATCTCACCTTCTAAATTGGCTTTAAGACCAGAAGGATCTTCAAAATTACACAGTTTCAGGGATGCCCCTTCTGCATTAGAACAGAGCATCTTGACTCCCTGGAGATTTGCACACTGGCAAAAAAAAGAGAAAAGTCCACGTTTTAACACTCAGAATTTTGTTTGGAAAAGAAAAAAAATGGGCTCAAACAACAAAAGAAAAAAATAGAGAAGGGGAGGAAGCTCAATTCCATACACTCACAATCAATTATTTTCTGTTTATAATGAAGACTTTTCTAACTGGAATCAACCAAGAGCTGAGAACCACTTTGAAGAAACAGTTCTTTTGAAAGAACCATTTTCAAAGAAACAACAACCTAATTAACAACAGCATGTCCGTTTTACACAGATAATAGTTTAGATAAAAAAAAATTGGGGGGTTAGGGGCACCTGGGTGGCTCAGCTGGTTGAGTGACTGACTTCAGCTCAGCTCATGATCTCCTGGTCTGGCCCATGGGTTTGAACTCCACCGTTGGGCTCTGTATTGACAGCTCAGAGCCTGGAGATGGCTTCACATTCTGTCTCCCTCTCTCTCTGTCCCTCCCCTGTTTACGCTCTGTCTCTCTCTTTCAAAAATAAATAAACATTAAAAAAATGTATTTAGGGGCGCCTGGGTGGCTCAGTCGGTTAAGCCTCCGACTTCGGCTCAGGTCATGATCTCGCAGTCCGTGAGTTCGAGCCCCACGTCGGGCTCTGTGCTGACCGCTCAGAGCCTGGAGCCTGTTTCAGATTCTGTGTCTCCCCCTCTCTCTGACCCTCCCCCATTCATGCTCTGTCTCTGTCTCAAAAATAAATAAACGTTAAAAAAAAAAATTAAAAAAAAAAAGTATTTAAAAAGTTGGGGGGCTAGAACTGTAACATCCCTATTTCTATGTTTATAAACAGTCCTGGGTAGGACACTATGAGAGCTAAGATGTATGGGTAAGGAACACATAATCTTATCAGGAGTAGGGATTTCTCTTCTTTCTTACTGCAGGAATCAATAAAATTCTTGATGTTCAATCATGCTATTACTACCTTCATTTCATAGGTCAGAATACTAAGGCCAGCAGTTAAAGGTATCATCTAGCTACAAAACCCTACAAGTTGTTTGTCAGTTCTTCATGTACCAATCACTGCTACACAACATTGTCAACCTTGAACGCCCAAGTTATAGCACAAAATACAAAGAGTAAAAAACTAGAAAATATATGTTAGAATTTTGAATTATGTTAATTTACCTCTGAGGATTCAGTGCCATCAGATCTGAACTCCAACAACTAGCAGATAAGGCAGGAAGCCATAAAGTTGACATTAACATTAGGACTTCCCACACTGTGACCATCAAAGTAGATGATGAATGTAAAAGTGTCTTAAAAATCGTAGGGCACTATATAAATGATAATTGTAGTTGTCATTATAACTACAACAGTGAAGAATCTAAAAATCCTAAGGCTGATCACGTTACCTTATTGCCACACCTAATAGGAAAAATCCTGTTTTGTGAGTGCAATTCCATTCACCATACTGTCAATTCTGCTGAAAGGGAGATAAGCTGCAGATCATTTCAGATCACAGAAAGCTGACAAATGCACACACATTCCCACGTCTGCCTCTGCAGAGGTAGTACGGGTGCTACGGCACACAGGCAATACAGAAGCTCAGCCTGAGAGGTAAGAAAATGAGGATGCAGAAGGACCAAAATAACTAAAAGATGAGGGTGTTTTAAATACACAGAAACATTAATAAGACAGGAAGCTGATAATATAAAAATAAATGTCTCTGGTTCTCTGTGCCGTGCACCCAGATAAAACAGACTGTAGCTATTATCTAAGTTCCCAAGGCGACAACCCAGGGAAAGCACCCTGCAAGTAGGTAGGTGTGACTGTAGCCCCGGCAAACAGCCTGCGGGCAGGTGGCTTGGCTGACCCAACTACAACCCCAAGGTGGCCCCAGACCGGCCCTTGACAGCACAGGGACCAAACCCCGCCCACAACAGGCAAATGGGGCCACTGCAGCTGACTGAAAGCTAAAGCAGCTCAGCCTCGATAGAAGGGCCCACGCAACACACACGGGAGACACCTATGCCTGAACTGCCTGGTTCTGGGGAAAGCAAGGGACATGGAACTACAGGGCACTACAGGACCTCTTCTTCATAAGGCCATTACTTTTAAGAGCAGGAGACATAGCTGACTTTCCTAATACGCAGAAACAGACACAGAGAGTGACACAAAATGAGGAAACAGGAATATATCCCAAATGAAAGAGGAGGACAAAATCAAAGCAAAAGAACTAAATGAAATGACGATAAGCTGTATGCCTGATAGATAATTCAAAGTAATGGTCATAAAGATACTTAATGGATTTGAGAAGGGTGGAGGATCTCAGTGAGACCCTTAACAGATGGGAAATATAAAAAAAGAACCAATCAGAACCAAAGAGATGAAGAACTTAAGTGAAATTAAAACTACACTAGAGGGAATAGATAGTAGACTAGAGGAAGCAGAAGAACGGATCAGTGAGCTGGAGGACAGAATAATGGAAAGCACCCAAGATGAACAGCAAAAAGAAAAAACTCAGTGACATCAAGTGTAGTAACATACGCATTACAGGGATCTCAGAAACAGAAGAGAAAGAAAAGGGGCAGAAATAATAGCTGAAAACTTACCGAATCTGGGGAAGGAAACAAATCCAGATCCAGGAGGAAAAGAGACCTCAATGGAATCAACTTAAGGAGGTCCACACCAAGAGACATAATAATTAAAATGGCAAAAAGCAGTGATAAAGAGAAATTAAAGGCAGCAAGAGAAAAGAAAACAGTTACATACAAGGGAAATCCCATACGGCAATATGCTGATTTTTCAGCAGAAATTGCAGGAATGAAGAGAGTGTAGGACACGAAAGGAAAAAACCTGAGATCAATTATACTCTACCCAGCAAGGCTACCATTCATAACAGAAAGAGAGGTAAAGCATTTCCCAAAACAAAAGATGAAGCAATTCATCGCCGCTAAACCAGTCTTACAAGAAATGTTAAAGGCGATTTTCTGAGTGGAAAGAAAAGGACATAATCAGGAGTAAGAAAATTAGGAATGGAGAACATTTCACAGGTAAATGGAAATATAATAAAAGTAGTAAATGAATCACTTATAAAACCAGGAGGGAGGTTACAGCACAAAAACAATAAAGTCAATTATACCTATAAAAATAAGTCAAGGGATTCACAAAATAAAAGGATGTAAAGGATGTAAAGGATGACACTATATACATAACATGTGTTGGGAGGGGAGTAAAAATTTAGTCCACCTAGAATGGGTTTAACCTTAAGCAACTAAGGGGCACCTGGGTGCCTCAGTCGGTTGAGCGTCCGACTTCAGCTCATGTCATGACCTCACATTCATGGGTTGGAGCCCGTGTTGGGCTCTGTGCTGACAGCTCAGAACCTGGAGCCTGTTTCATATCTGTCTCCCTCTCTCTCTGCTCCTCCTCTGCTCATGCTCTAAAAAAAAAAAAAAAAAAAACAAAAAACTTAAGCAATCATCAACTTTTATACAGATACAGAGATGTTATATATGAACCTAACGGTAACCACAAATCAAAAACCTGTAATAGATATGCAAAAAACAAAGAGAAAGGAATCCAAGCAAAATCACTAAAGGAAGCCACCAAACCACAAGGAAAGATAGGAAGAGAAGAAAGTAACCAGGAACTACCCAAATAACTGTAAAACCAGTTAACAAAACGGCAAGAAGTACATCCGTGTCAATAATGACTTTGAATGTAAATGTACTAAATGCTCCCATCAAAAGATATTGACTGACTGAATGATAAAAAAGCAAGAACCACCTATATGCCGCCTACAAGAGACTCCTTTCAGACCTAATGACACACATAGATTAAAAGTCCTAAGGTAATTATAAGTACGGCTCTGTCCTCAAACCTGACCCTTATGGAATCTCACAAAAAAAACCAATTTATAAGAAATTCAGTGAAGTTTTCCATCTTCAACCACAGAAAGCATGTCATTCACCCTCCAACTCATCAAATGGTACAAGCAGGTCACCAACAGTCACCAACATGGAGGGTTCAGAACTCAGCTGCTTAGTAAACCAGCTGTTCAGAGTTTTGCTACCTTAACTGTATCAAGGGGCATAGGGCTTTGATGAAAGCAGTTTAGTTATTACCATGGTTTCTAACGTATGATAATGGTATTAAGATTATATTTTTTAAATGGTCTTTAAGGGATAAACAAAATATTTACAGGTGAAATAGTGAATTACTTCAACATAATCTATAAAGAGGTATAGACACGATTGTTTATATGTCGATGATACCTTCTGAAGTTACATCTGAGTTAATAGATGTAACAAGGAGGATTCATTATAGTATTCTATTTTTGTATATGCTTGACATTTTGCACATGAAAAAGTCATTAAAAAAAGAAATAAGGAAAAGAAAACGCATGTTGTAGAGTCTGTCTAGCTCCAGCTGTGCTAACACATTAGCCTCTTTGGGCCCAGGCAAGTCTCTAGGTTTCAGTTTCAGTCCAACAACAGGGTCATACGTGATGACCATCAAGGTCCCTGTCAGCTCTCACCATTCTAAGTCTTGAATATGCAACAGATATGTAATAGCTGAGTTATTACATCAGCTTCTATGCAGCATGCTGAAGTCACTGATGGCAAAAAGAGTGTGCAGAAGAAACATTCTTAAAGCAGGCTGACAGAATAACGTGGCACAGACATGTTCTGCTCAACAGAGATAGCAGCTGAGATCACCTTGGTTGACAGCAGAATCACATGGTTCCTATGGAAAGGTCTCACAGCCCGTGAAGGATAAATGGGGTGAGAAATTAAGAAAGAGTAGTGGAGGGGTACCTGGGTGGCTCAGTCAGTTAAGCGTCCGACTTTGGCTCAGGTCATGATCTCGCGGTTTGTGGGTTCAAGCCCTGCATTGGGCGCTGTGCTGACAGCTCGGAGCCTGGAATCTGCTTTGGATTCTGTGTCTCCCGCTTTCTCTGCCCCTCCCCCGTTCACACTCTGTCTCTCTCGCTGTCTCAAAAATAAACATTTTAAAAAAATAGTGGAGGGGCACCTGGGTGGCCCAGTCGGCTGAGCGTCCGACTTCGGCTCAGGTCATGATCTCACGGTTCGTGAGTTCGAGCCCCACGTTGGTCTCTGTGCTGACAGCTCAGAGCCTGGAGCCTGCTTCAGATTCTGTGTCCCCCTCTCTCTCCGCCCCACCCCTGCTTGTGCTCTCTTTCAAAAATGAATAAATGTTAAAAAAAAAAAAAAAACTTAAAAAAAGAAAGTGGAGCCATTAGGTGTATCAGCAGACTGCTTAGCACACATCATGTTCTGTAGATATGATGGCTATTCATTAGCATTCATCTTCAAATGCCAAGGACAATTAGCAATTAGTTTTGACTTCACAGCCTATATACCCTGGGCAATGAATGACTCTTCAACATGAGCCACTTCTAACGTTAGTAATTAAATTTATAATTCTATAGCACTTCAGCTTATCAACTGTACAGGATGGATAGAACAAGTATTTACAGTTAAGAAAATTATGGTGCAGGTTCAGAGTTAGCATTACTATAATTAAACAGAACTCAAAACCAGCTCTACTGAATGACCCAGACTGTCTTTTTATTTTTGTTTGTTTGTTTTATCCTTAACAAAAGCCAGACAAGTGATCTCTCATCATTTCACTATTTAAAGACTAGGTCCTTCAGAGCGCCTGGGTGACTCAGTCAGTTAAGCTTTCTACTCTTGATTTCGGCTCAGGTCATGATTTCATGATCATGAGATGAAGCCCCTTGTCTGCTGGGCATGGAGCCTGCTTAAGATTCTCTCTCTGCCTCTCCCCCGTGCGTGCATACACACGCTCTCTCTCTCACTCTCTCAAAATAAGCAAACATTAAAAAATAATAATAAGGACTAGGTCCTTCAAACTTTTTTCTTTGTGCTGTCACTCTTTCACTCATTTTGCTAGCAATGTGGTCCTTCCTCATAAGATGGAA